CATTTTTCTTTGTTTTTCCTTTTCACTCTAGGCCATGGGTCCTCAAACTACGGCCCGTGGGACAGATTCGGCCCGTGCCACTGTTCGCCTGCCTCCCATTCGTGTGGCTCGCTCGCTCGGAGATGGTCTCCGGGCAAGCAAGCCACCACCTGCCTCCCGTATGCGTGTGCTCACCACTGCCTCACAGCTTGGGCGGGGAGGTGGTGGCTTGCTTGCTCGGAGAGGGTTTTGGACTCACTGGGAGATCTCTGAGTGATCAAGCCACCGCCGCGCGTGCCCGATGCCGCCTCGCACATGCCTGATGGCACCTCACCGACCCACACCCCTGGGCACCCCCATCTCACCGACGGTCACCGCAGCCTTTCAACTGGCCCCCTATTCAAAAAGTTTGAGGACCCCTGCTCTAGGCAGTGGTTGCTGTTTGTTTATATACTTGATGTTTAGAATTTTCCTTCTGGGGGGCATTTCTGGGGGATTGTTGCTGTTATTATGATGTAAATAAAAATCAAACAATCTGGGAATGGATATTCCTGGTGAGTTTAGTAAAGTAGAAGTGGATGAGCCTGCGAGCAAGCACACTGACTTGCTCTGACACTCTCATAAATAACCTATGATTTCTTAAACATGGCTTGTTTGATCATATGAACTGGGTTTGTTGTATTATTGTGCACAGTAGTGGAAATACATAATGATACTGTCTATCTTTTTTGCTTTTACTTTTGTAGTTTTTCAGCTAAATTAGGCCTTTAACATTCCTACTACAGAGTCAATTCCACTGGATTTACCCTTACTAAAAGGTAAAAGTAGAAATGGTTATACTGCTAGTCTTGTGAGATAACAGGTGTGTTTTCTTTGCTTATAGGGAGCTGAACCTGAAGCGTCCAATTTATCAACAGACTGCATGCTATGGACATTTTGGAAGAGAAGAATTTACATGGGAGAAACCTAAACAGCTAGTTTATTAAAGCTGTTTTGACAATGAAGTTTTTAAAAAAACCAATTGATCTAAACCAGCAGTGAGGCTATCAGGGTGGATCATTAGTCAGCATGACTAGATTTAAATCATGGTTTTCTACATAATTTGCAGGCATGCCTGCCTCCCCTGTAGATAGAAGAACTTTTATTACAAACTAGGTGTCTTTTACATCCTGTTGCCATTATAGGTTTTCTTCTCCAGGGAAATAATATGGTAAACCTCAGGCTATATACAAAAAGATCCAAAGACTTCCAGATCAACAATCTTCTATTCATTGAATTTTTTGAAACTTAGTACCAAGAGGTAAGTGATTGATTCTGTGTACATACATTTGCAAAGGAATAATGAAATTAAGGTCTTTGTCTCAACTCTGTATGTTTATTTTATAACATTTTTATTGTGAAGAAAAGGCATGTGATCTCTGCAGACATAAATTCACATTTTTGAGAGCTGTAAAACCAAACATTTCTTCTAGATAGAAAAATTATGCAATAATCTTACAGAAACTTCTGGAAGAGCATGACATTGTAAATAGATTAATGGAATTCATTTACCAATTTTTTAAAAAAAATTATAAGAATGTATCACCTCATGCTACATGATTGAAAACTAATCCTTATTTCATGATGAATAACCTTTGGACTATAATGTACCTTAAATAGAAAAATATCTTTAGATACATTTTTCCTCAAAAAATCCAATTTAAATTTTTAAAATGTTATTTTTTTTTTATAAAAATCATTTTTATCCATCCTGGAAGCTACTGCAAATAAGGCATTTTAAAGATAAATTAACAATAATTGCTTTTTGGTGCTCAATTCTAATTCATTTTTATGGTAATGGCTTGCAATTAAAATATAAGTACATTTGTACACCAAAGTCTGCCCATCTGTAATACATTTCCATAGGTGGAAAAACAGCTTGCGGAAGGAGTCTTTATCAAGAAAAAACACATGAAAGGAAGAGGTTAAATACTGCTCCTATAGTTAAATTCACAGCATATTCAGCAGCTTTTCAGCAAAAGCAAAAACAGAGCAAAACATTGGTTCACATGCCTCACCCCCTGTGTTGAAAGAACACAGGAAGAAGCATGGGGCCATGCAGGCTGCCATTTCCTAACACAGAGACACACAGCTGACAGGTCGTGCAGCCACACATGTCAGAAACCAGACCTGGGTCTCTCCCCTCTGCACCTTCTGATGGAGAAAGAAAGGGCATTATCTGCGCTCCATGTGTTTGGAGCTGCTCTACGGGTCTTACATGATAGAGCAGGACAGAGCCCTTTTTCATGCTGGCCAAATACATGGATAGTTGGGCAGTGTTTCTGGTGCGGGTGAGGAAGAACAGCCTGTGTGGCCCTGTGACACTCATCCCATGGTCTTGTGCTAGTGGATCGGACCTCTGACCCTGTGCACGGAGCATGCCTTCCTATTGTATGGGGAATGCTCTTCTAGTCATTCAGGGAAGAGTTGGGGTAAGCCCTACAACCTGCTTGCTTGCTTGCCCGCCCACCTGGCCCAGGGGTGTACAGCCTTTGCAGGCCTGAAGGGGCCACATAGAAACACACACATTTTCAGACCTGCTCTCTCACTCCTGGGTAATTCCAGGCCTGCGCAGCAAAGTTGCCCTCTGGGCCCCAACCCTTTCCCTCAATGGGCAGGAAGAACATTAAGTGCAATCTGCTGGTATGTGATGCATTCAGATCTCATCAGTGGAATGTGGCTCCAGAGGGTTTGTCCAAAACGGAATCCCTCCCTTGGGCTGAAAGGGATTCCTCTATCTGCTCTGTCTTACCCACTCTAGCACCCTCCAGATGTGTATGACCAAACTCCCATCATCCCCCACCAGGCTGAGAAATCCCTTCAGATCTGGAAAGGGGTCAGGCAGGGGAAGGCTGTTCTACACGCATACCGGAAAGCAAGTTCCACTGAGCCCAGCGGAACCTCCTCCCGAGTAAAGCACGCAGCGAGTTCCTGCCTTATTGCATCAGCTGCCTGAGCGGTAACCTCTGTAGCCCCAGGATCACGTCATTCGGTCGTCAGCCGCACGTGGGCTGGGCGCGGGCAGACGCGGAGATCAGCTGCCCGAACTGCGGAGAGAGGCGTTCCAGCACCGGAAAAAGGGGGCGGGCCATGCCGAGGTGGGCGTGGCTTGGAATGGAGGGCGGGGCCCGTCGGAGAGGTCGTGCATCCACCGCAGAAAGGGCGTGGCCCGAGACGCCGGCTTCTGTTCTGGCGGAAGAGGCCCTTCCATCGTTTTGTGGCGTTACAAACATAAACGTTAAAATGTAGAGTGGTAATTCAAGAGCGTGCAGGCGAGACTTATCGGTTAAATCTGATGCCCTCTCAGATTTGATTGAGGGAAACAAAAACGGGAATTTGCCTACGGGGGACAATGCAGGACTTCATCGAAGTGTACTGTGGCAGGAAAGGGTTGTCCCATACCTCCACCAGAAGCGATGTTGTGTCATCTGAGATCTCTCTGAAATTTGTCTAAACTCTCCAAGTTGGTGGCTATCGCTACATCTCACTACTTGCAGTTTCACGACCCACCAGTGTGAACAAAAGAGTAAGCGAAGGAGGAATCCTTTGCCTATTTGGAAAGAAAAAAGTCCTGACCCGTGCTCCCTAGGAACTTGTAGGAACTTCTTTGTCCAAACATGCTATAGCGTTGCACCCTTACACAGCATTCATACACTTATTTGAGAGTAAGCTTTGTTAAACACAATGGGACTTACTTCCGATTACATATGTACAGAGGTACGCTACAACTATTTCATTAAGTGTCGTCTACTAGATCTTTATTGATGAACTTTAGATTTTTTAAAACTTAACTTTATACACCCAAAGAGTCCTAATGTAGTTAGAAGTCATTATTCTAGAAACAACCAGGCTACCGGTCTGTAACTGTAATAATAGTATAGGCTCTCAAGATACAGAGAGCGGAACAATGATATATAGGATACATAAATATTTTGCTGGCTGCGTCCAATATTTTGCCTATATTAAAACAGCCAGAATAATAACAGCTGTAATGAAAGGAGACAGCAAAACATAAGCCACATAAAACACGTTTCAGGAAGCAGGCGGGGTCAACAGACTTAAACTATCATTTGCATCAACAAACAGCATAGGCCTCCAAACCCCAAACCAGCCGCCAGCTGAATGCAGACATGCATTCCCTCGCATGCACTGACACGTGTTTACCGCTCGAACAACGCGATCCGAGACTCGATTCAGCCGATCGATGGGATCTACTCCATATAGAGGGTTGCAGTTACTTCAGCGCAAGTCCCTTTGAATTTGTGCAAGTTTCTTCCGAGTAAAGATGCAAGGCTAACCCTGTAAATAGGTACACTAGCTACGCTAGCATTCAAACCACGTAGCTAGGAGGCAGTTTTTACTCCTTGCACTGAGCAGAGTCCGTAGGGCTTTTGCCTCTCGGGGTGCCAAGGCCAAGAGTGCCGCTGCTCTGCGACTTCCGAATTAGTGCCTGAAGTTCAGAGAAGAATCGACGCTCACCTTAATTAACTCCAGCGCGGAGCTCGGGAAAGCGCTCGGGGGCGGGGCCACAAGGTGGAAGTGGGCGGAGCGCTCCGGTTTCCTTCTCTGACGGACAACGTTGGCGGAAATGGTTTCGGTGCGGGTTAGAAGAGCGGGGACTACGGTGGCTGGGGAGGGTTAGAATTAGTGGCGTGAGCGGCAGTAGTGGGAGCGGCAGGAGGCACCGGCAGGAGGGACCGGCCTGGCTCGCCCCCTCTCCCTCGCCGACCCGCTCCAGTCCCGGCTGCGCCCGCGGAGCGGTCATGTCGCTGCTGCAGTCGGCGCTGGAGTTCCTCGCCGGGCCCGGTTCCTTGGGCGCCGCTAGCCGAGACCAAAATGACTTCGTGGGGCAGGCGGTGGAGATGGGCGACATGAAGCTGCGGATCAGAAGGGTCATCGCCGAAGGTGTGTGCGCCGTGCGGAGGGGGCGCGGGTGGGAGAAACGCCGTGGGCGGCGGGTGGAGCTCAGGGGCGTGGAGCGCAGGACCGGTGACCTCAGGTGCGTTCCCAAAGTCCAGCACCGCCTCCTCCTCCTCCATCCTTCTCCCTCTTCACCAGTTCTTCCTTAATTCACTGCATTGTGTGTGGTCAAGCAGTCTCTCTCCTCTTCCACATATCGGAATAAATCAGTTAAATACATATAAAAAGGCAGTGGTGATCTGTCAGTAAAACACTAGTGTATGGACTGACAGACTGGGGCTCTGGATATCCAGGCTGTAGTTCCCACTCAGCCATGGAGGTTCCAGTGTGACTCTGAGCCAGTCACTGACTTTCAGCTTAACCTACCTCACAGGGTTGTGAGGATAAAAATGGAAAAGCAGACTATGCAAACTGCTTTGGGCTCCTTGCAAAAAGACGAAAAAAGTTGGGTAAAAATAAGTAGCAGTGGCAATATAAGAAGCAGTAATTGCACCTGCTTTGCGAACTTTGTCTTACCAACTTTTAATAATCAGTAATTTTAGCTAGCTAAAGTCTTTAGGACTGTCTTGCTTGTCTATTCTTACCCAATTTGACAAAATGGTTTGGGGAGGAGGGTCTTATAGACACAGGAAGGCGAGGGCAGTAACAGCAGGGCATGGAAACTAATGTTTAGCAGATGACAGTTTGCTTGGCAGAGAGAGAAACTAAAAGAGGCCTCTTTGCCTGTTATATTTTGTTTAGCAAGTTGTGGTTAAAATGGCTGAGAACATGGCCAAATTTTAAAAAGTGTCTACCTTCATCAGATGGGAGAGGTTGGTGCTATATCTTAACAGCTGTGAGTGAAGCTTCTTCTTTTTTAGTTTTTTCATCTTCTTGTTGCTTCCTTTATAAAAAATACCATGTGGATTTCTGGAGCTGTATACAGGGTGGATCAACATTTTGTCAGCGTTCCATTTCTAATGATTTCATACTAAAGTAATTGACCATGCTGACTAGGGCTGATAGGATTCTAAAACATCTGAAAGGCATTCTCTTGCCTACCTCTGAGTTAAAGTGCACACTTCCTCCTTTCTTTTCCATGAATGGTTATGGGTAATACATGGTGCTTGAAGCTATGAGCATAGCCTTGTCTGAATTATAATAATTAACAGTTTATCCTGTTTTGCCCTGGGGTAAATTTTTCTGCATTTTTACTGTGTGATCGGTGGGCTTGAAACAACTTTGTTGAAGGTAGTATTTTGGGTTGTAGGAATATCATATTTCCCTCTCCTTGTACAGTACTATATCATTGCTGGCAAAAATTCTTTTCTTACTCTCTAGCAGTATGTTAGTGTGCTGATGCCTTTATCCCACAGTCACAAATTTAATGACTGTGACCTCATAAGTGATTGATTCAACTTTCATCCTCACCCTATGCCTTACTGTATTCCGTCAGTTTTGAAGTTAGAATTTTATGTTTTATTTATTTAACATTTTTCTATGCCCTTTATTACTAAAAAAAGTCTGGATGGCTTACAATGTTTCAGAAGCTTGGTCCTTTCTAAATAGATGCAGGAGTGTTTGTGTTATAAAAGGAAACATGCATTATGTAGCAAGCTCTCTTTAGTTAGCTCAAGAACTTAAGTTTAGGAAGCTGTGCACTCCCTGCCACACTCTTTTGAAAAAGTAGCCAGCATGATCCTAAAGGTGGCCAACTATCTTGAGAGTGGTCAACTGTAAAGGTGCCCTAAAAGTAAAGTTAAATAAATTATGCTTGAAAGGTACCCTTCGTAGTTATGTTTCTTCTAACTTGAACAGGGCAACCTGCAAAGACTAATATGTGGTTGCAGTAAGCTTTGATCAGTGGGACAAGCCCCAAGACTTAACCTGTGTCTTTTTAAAAAGTCTGCTTGAGCTTTTTGGTCATAACTTTTACTGGATTTGTGGAGATACCTCTGTAAAAGTGAACTGTCCCAAGGGACCTGCCCCACTAAGCAGAAAGTTAATGGGCGATGGTTAGTTAGCCATCAAAGAGGCTAGAGCAGTTCAGCAAGCCAAGTCCAAAACCAGATTCTCTCCCTCTCCCCCCACCCCCCGGCATGCCTTTCCATGTCAGAAATATTGCTCCTAATCTGGTTGTAGTCCCACGCAATTGAGGCCATAATTTGTGTGATCACATGCAGATCTACACCCTCACTTGTGTCAAGATGTGGCTAGCCTAGTCAAGAGAGCTCAGATGAGCACTGCAGTGCAACTGGGGATGTCCTTCCAGAACTGCTTTTTGAACAGACATCACCAGTGCCTTAGAATTCACTGTTCCTGCATATGAATCTGCCCTGCTTTATTCAAGTGTTTTCCATATAGGAGATAACAGCCTGCCGTTGTGCATATTGGTTTCAAGTGTGGTACAGTGGTTAAGAGCATGAAACTGGGACTCATACAGTCTGTGTTCTAGTCTCCCACTGGCCATGGAGCCAGCTGAGTGACTTTGTGCCAGTCACAGACTCAGCCCAACCTACCTTATAGGGTTGTTGTTGGGGGATAAGACTGAGAGCAGCAGGAGGAGTATTGTGTACACTGCTTTGAGTTCTTTGTAAGAAAAAAGGCAGGATATAAATCAAATGAATAAATAAGTTTTGGTGACCTTCTGCTGGCATTAAATACGGTTCCTGTCCCGAGTCAGGAATGGCTAAAGCGGGAGAGAATAAACTGAGGTGGTGTCAGGTTTCTAAGTTTATGCAGAGATTATTTGGGGTTAGCATTTGATCCTGAACTGTTTTCATCTGAATTATTTCTAGTTTGGGGACTGATAAAGCTAGTAATATTCTGTGTTTAATGTCTATCAAAACATTTTCATAGCGTAAGCCGTAGGGTTCACAGAATGTAAGTGGCAATGAACACACATCAGCAGTGGCTGTCTTTGTGTTTCACTTTCCATTCATATGGTGAGGTGTGGTAGGCCTGGCTGCCAACTGACTTGCAGGCAGATTCCTGGAACAGGCATGGACCCAGGGCAGCCTGAACACTAGATGCCGTTCCCAAAGCTGCTAGATCTGTTTACTCTTTTGAGTGTTACCCAAAATATGGTCAAATGTTTTCTTCCTACAGGGGCCCATTCCGAAGAAAATACACTTAGATCTGTAAAAACTAAAGTCACCAAAACAGAGAATCAATTATAGCTATAGATTAGATAGCAAATGTACAGGCAGCTGCACCAATTCATGAGGTTTCCAACATGTTTGGAAGGACTTCCTATCATGGGAGAGAAAATCTATAATCCATAATTTAAAATGTTGCTCTGAGCCATGCCAAAGCAGAGGCAATGTTTTATTCCAAGCAGTTTTTAAAATTATGGAATATAGAAATATTCCCCATGACAAACCAGTCTTCGAGATGAATTGGAAATCAAAGCATCTTGTGCTGCTATCTTTGTTTACAACATAGGGGATAACCTGTATGCTTAGGGCACAATTCTACACATAGTTAGACAAAAAAAAGTCCAACATCTTTCCACAGTCAGTATTCTCTCACATGGCTGATGAGGACATACTAGGAGTTGTACTGCTTTTTCCACATCTGAACTTGCATAGAATTGTGCCTTAAATGGTTGGTACAACATGACCTTCCCCGAAAAATGTTCTGCTTTCTTGATTTTCTAACATGCTGCCTTCTATGCTGTCCCACATTGAAACTGTCTGCATCTAATAAGCAATTACATGAGGCAGAGAGGAAGTTTTTTATTGGTATGTGTGGATATTTAGAAATGTGATTTCCTTACTTGTGATGTAAAGTGCCATTGTCCATCCCGTGTTCTTTCACCCCTTTCTGTGTAAGGTGTGGAGAAGCATTTGAGTTGTTTGAAAAGGGGTGAGTCATGCGTTGCACAATTCAGACTGGCTGTAAATGTCAGATTGCCTGTGCTTGCACTTGTCATTCTTTTGTGAAGTGAGGTGACAGAATTGGAAGACCCACAAAAGGTCTCCTATGACAGCGTGGAGGGAGCTGCCTACTTACTTCAGCCCACAGGATCATCATGCTTGGAAAACAGCTTACTGAGACATGCAGCACTGTCAGACAGGAGATCTGAAAATGTAGAATGCCAAGCAAGAAAGTGTTTAAAAAAATTAAAAGACCCTTCATGTACCATCTCTAGTGTAGACTTCCTCAATCTGTGGTCCCCCAGATGTCTTAGACAGCAGCCTTCGTCTTCCCCAATCATTAGTCTGTGGCTGATGGGAGTTGTAGTCCAAAGCCTCTGCAGGGTATCAAGCTGGGGAAGGCTGTTGCAATGCAAGCAAAGGCTATCATTGCACATGGGGTAGTCCTGGTTTTATATGTTGGACTATCCTTTAAGATTGGGTATTGCACAGTTGATATGAGGGTGATATTTTTAAAACCTGCAGAGCAGTACCTCTGTCTGCTGCTGGCTTTGTCGTGCTTCTGTAACTGATATCACTGGATTTTGTTTTGGCAGCTTAAGCCCGAGTGTAAATGCCATTCTCCTGGTTTTTAACCTTATTTATTTTATTTTATATGTGTTTGCTTCATTATACCCTGCATTTTTCCCTCCTGCAAGGCACCCAAGGCAGCTTACACAATCCCCCCCCTCCATTTTGTCCTTGCAGCAGCCCTGTGAGGTAGGTTAGGGTGGCTGACCCAAAACGAGTTGCATGACTCAGTGGGGCACTAGAACCCAGATCTCCTGAGTTCAGGCCTTTAAGCACTGTACCACATTGGCTCTCTTCACCTGTAGATTGAGGTTTCTATGCAGGCATGTACTTATCCTTCCCAGGCTGCTCCCATGCTTCAGCTTTGCCTTTTCTTTTCCCATGATGGCTAAGAATGGAATCTGGCCAATATTAGCTAGAGTAATCAGGTCCTGGGTGTGTTGGCAGTGCTGGTTGACCTTAGGCATGGTTAAGAGCAATGCAGTGTAAACCTGAACTAAGATTAAGGCTGCCAGGTGAAGGTGAAGATTCAAAGGTGAGAGGGATGGGTTAGGGGAGACCGTTCATCTTCTCATGGCTTGTGTTATGTCTGCACTGGGTGTGTAATATGGTGGGTTGAAATAGGAGTGGGCAACTTACCCTCCAGATGTTTGGCCTACCATGCCAAGCATCCCTCACCATTGGCTGTGCTGGCTTGGGCTGATGGAAATATCCAAAGGGCCAAATGTTTTAAACCAAAGATAGCAATGTACTGCAAAAGTTCTATATCTTCCTACCCCAATCCTGAGTCCTTGGAACGTGTCAAACTACAGTATGGTAGCAGTTTCCCCAGCTACCATAAACCATTGGCTTTTGCCCCTCATTTTCTCCCTCATGTAAATATAACTAATTTCCCCTGAGTTTTGATTAGATTGGGCAGAAACATAGATAACGTGGAAGGCACGGAGGAGGATGCCTTGGGGTGGGTCAGTGTGAGAGCCACTGTGGAATAGCAGTTGAGTGCTGGTGTGGCATGATGGGATGAGGGTTGGACCAGGGCCTGGGGAGTCTGGGTTCTAGTTTCCACTTGGCTTGAAGCTCACTGGGTGACTTTGGGCCTGTCAATGCACTCAGCCTAAACAACTTTACAGAGCTGTGAAGAGGGAGATCACGTAATCCACCTTGGGTGGATTGGGTATGATTTTAACGAATCAATAACTTGAACGTTTCTGAGTCTTCTTTCAAACTTTCTCAGCACCTCGCTGAACTACAATTTGCAAGATTCTTTGGGCTTGAAACCCTGATAGGTAAGCTGGTGAAAAAATAAACCCAAGGCCGAGTTGTTGGTGTGGCTTTGCTCTTAGAAACAAAGACCAGTCTGTTGCTGTTAGAAACCATCTCAAGCTTGCACACACAATACTGTACCCTC